AAAGTGGAGAAAATAACAGCACCCACCTTGTAGGGCTGGTGTGCAGATAGACAGAGGTAACGAAGGCCAAATGCCTAGGACAGTGCCTGGCACAGAGGAAGCCCTTTCTACGATGTATGTAATGTATGTAAACTGTAATATATGTAAACTGCCCAGCACAGGCCTAGCATATGGTGGGGACTCAAAAATGCTATTTCTCCCCTTTTTCCTTATTCCTACACCCTTCCTTTCTGAGATGTGGTGAAGGAAGAGAACTGCAGGGGAGACAGACATACCAGAGAAAATCTCATTTGGATGGATGTTGTCTTTGGGTTAAAAAGGCAAAACCCCAGGTAGGCAGAGACTGCATGGAGAGGCGGGAGAGGGCAGGCAGGGGTGCCTGGGGAGGGTTTCTCATTAGTGCCCCACACAGCCTGTTGGCCTCATTAACTTCCAAGATGCCCTTCATCAGCAGATCACACGGGATTGGAATTCAACAGACAGGCTGCCCAGGAGCCACAAACACCACACTTCCACAAGCAAACACAACATAGTCCCACATATAGTGTTGCACACAGGCTACACTTACACAGATAAGTGCACAGTGTCGCACACACACAGGCAAACACACACAGGACAATGACTTTGTGTTGTTTACTTATTGCTATACTCCTGATGCCTGGAATGGTCCCTGGTCCCGAGTTGTTGTTATTAGCTGCTGTCAAGTCTTCCCCCAACTCATGGGAACCCCATGCACAGCAGAATGAAACACTGCCCAGTCCTCTGCCATCCCTGTGACCAGTTAGGGATCAGACAGTCTGAGCCATGGGGTTTTCATTGGCTGATTTTCAGAAGTAGATCCCCAGGCCTTTCTTCTTAGTCCATCTTATTCTGAAAGCTTAGCCTGATAGTAACGTACAAGCCTCTGCTAACAGGGGATGGCTGCGCCTGAGGTTCATGGAGCAGGAATCAAACTCAGGCCTCTGACCTCTCGTGGAAGGTGTGGATTCTATCAGTGAACCAACAATGCCTCTGGCATCTATTTAGGCCTCAATCTCTATTTCTGACTGAAGGCTGTGTGAAATGCATACACCCTACAAAGAGACATATATCCACATCCTTCCACATTCTTCCCAAAAATTTATTGCCAAGAACAGGAGACAGGAGACACTTTAATGGATCAGTTTCAGGTGTGCTATACTAGATTGTTACAGAGATGGGAATTTTTTTGGGAGACCCAGAGAAGGTGACATTTAGTGGGTATTGAAGGGTGTGTAGGAGTTCACCAAGAAGAGGTGAAGAGGACAGGCTTATGAGGCAGCAGGCGCAGTATGTGCAGAGGATCTTTGTAAAAGATGATGGAAGAGCATTAGAGAGTAGGCTGGGGCAGAAGTGGGGACACCACAAAGCAAGGTCCCTGGAATGTTGATGAGGACCAGATCATGAAGGATCTGGAACACCATGCTAAGGAGTTGGATTTATCTTGTGTGCAGAGGGAGACATGGGGAGTTCTAAACAAGGAACCAACATGGTCAGATTGGTGTGTTTAGAAAGCTTTCTCTGGTTGAGAGAAGAGGCTGGATGGAAGACTTGTGACCAGAGGCGTATGTA